GATATAGATATAGATATAGATATAGATATAGATAGATGTAGATGTAGATAGATATATAGATATAGATGTAGATATAGATGATATATAGATGTAGATATAATGATATAGATATAGATGTAGATATATATAGATATAGATGTAGATAGAGATATATATAGATATATAGATATATAGATATAGATGTAGATAGAGATGTAGATGTAGATATTGATGATATAGATATAGATATAGATTAGATATAGATATAGATATAGATATAGATATAGATATAGATATAGATATAGATGTAGATAGAGATATAGATGTAGATATAGATGTATAGATATAGATTAGATATATAGATATAGATTAGATATATAGATATAGATATAGATATAGATATAGATATAAATAGATGTAGATGTAGATGTAGATAGATATATAGATATAGATGTAGATATAGATGATATATAGATGTAGATATAATGATATAAATATAGATGTAGATATATATATATATAGATGTAGATAGATATATATATAGATATATAGATATATAGATATAGATGTAGATAGAGATGTAGATGTAGATATCGATTATATAGATATAGATGTAGATAGAGATATAGATAGATGTAGATGTAGATATAGATGTAGATATAGATGGCTATAGATATATAGATCTATAATAATGAATTCCAGACTCCTTTGGCTCTGGGGCTGGGAATGAGGAGTTTTACACTCGGGGTCACCGCGACACCCGCACCCCGAGAGGGACCCGGGACCGAGGCCGGGACCGAGGCCGGGACCGAGCCCGGGACCGAGGCCGGGACCGAGCCCGCAGCGCCCCCGCGTGGCGGCGGCCGGAGCTCTGCATCCCCCGGGACGGCAAGAGGAATTCCCACCTAAAGCTCCTGCAACAGCGCTGTCACAGCTCCTGCTGGATTTGTGCTCAGTTTCCGCTCATTCCATGAAAAGATTTGGATGATGGGAATTCCACACCAAACATGTGTTTTCCAGTGGCCTTCCTCCAGCTGGAGCGATGCTCCTTCTGGAAGGAGTGACAGCCCAAATCTACACAGTGGTAAAACCCTGCTCAGCATTGTTAAGGTGCAGAACATTTGAGCTTTCAATTGTTTGGATTCATATCTGCTTATGGTTTGTGCCAGTAGTTCTGCAGCGTATCTGAGTTATTGCTTTGGAACGCTCTAGTGTCTTCAGATTGTCACAGGGGGTGGAAAAGATTTTCCCCTGAATGTAACTTGAATTTTCATATGATTCTGGAATCAGGTTTGTGCACCTCTTCCTATCTCCCCGGGGTAAGGTGTAAAATGCCCCATTGCAGCAGGAAGAATTGGAGTTTTGTTCCACCTGTGATCCCCCTGGGGCTATAATCAGATTATTCTGTAGCACATACACACTTGGTCAGGTTATTGGTGAGCTTAGAGCTGTCTAACACCTGACATGGTGAGCAAGGACATGAGAAATGCTGAGCTTCGCTGAGGAACACTGGGCTGAGAACCATGAATGGAAGTGAGGGAGCCACTGACCCATCAGTGAACTCTTCCAACCACTGCAACTGAAAAAATAACTCCAGGAACCTTCCTGGATCCTGATTTGTATCCCATCTTTCCTATGATTTTTAACCTCAAGGGGTGGGAAGCATCCTGATCTACTCAGACTGGTAACAATACAGGTAAAATTACTTGTTTGGGTTGTCCTCAGCTACCATGAACACTCTGGATTTAATGCTATATCTTGTCACTGTAACTGGTTTTTATCAGAAATCATTATATATCTGTATCTACATCTATCTATCTATCTATCTATCTATCTATCTATCTATCCATCCATCCATCCATCCATCCATCCATCCATCCATCCATCCCCTGAGCAGGGGGATTTGCTTTGTGGTTACTTCAGGGGCTGAGTGAAGGAACCTGAACATTTCCCCATTTCCATGGGAAGCTCCATTTCACTCCCAATCTTTTTTTTTTTTTAATTCCTTTGCCAGCTTTAACACAGGCACCTCAATATCTGCAGTGTTTATGTTGTGCTGTAATCTACTGGCAGTTTTTGTTTTATACTGGGGAGTGTTTGCGATTAAGATTTTCCATCTATTTCCTGTTGGTTCAATAAATAATTCATTTTGTTTATAATTAATAATAATAATAATAATAAATAATTCATTGTATTTAAAGACACCTCATTTGCCATCACTAGAATGTGTGGCCCAGAGGGAGTCCTTAGATTTAAAATGTTGTCAAAATTTGAGGCTAAGGCCTGCCTGGCTCTGGCCCTGCACATCACAGGAAGGTGCTAACAACCTCCAGCTCCCTCCTGGAATAGAAAATAATATAAAAGATACATAATAGAACAATAAAGAATATAAAATAGAACACAAAACAAGCCAGTTTGCATTTGAAAAACCTATTTCTGCTCAGCTTTGTTACTGGCAACAAACAAGAAGAACTTCGTAATGACTTTTGAGGTAATTGCAGGATTTATCTCTAAATTAGACATTTCCTGAAATATCCAAATGCATCCCCAAAATGGCAACCTTGCCCCAAGGTTTAGGTCTAAATGTTGAAGTAATTTTCTTTTGGTGGTATGAATAATAATAATAATAAAAGTAATAATTTTGTTTCTGTGTTGCATCACTGCTCACCAAGGGCAATGCCAAGGGGAGATAATGGGAATACAATGGGAAGACAAGGGAGATAATGAGCACAAAACACAGGCCTGGGAGCACGAGTGCAACTGGCAACAGCTGATTATCCCAGAGGACAAGGGAGGAGAGGGACTGGGCACACGCACAGAAGGTCAGTGCCAAGGCTGGGGGAGCTGGCAGGGAGAGGAAAGCTGAGGAAATGTGAAGAGCAAAAATGGCATTTCTAAAACATGACCTCGGAGAGCAGCAGCTGGGGGTGAAGGATGGGTCCCCAAAAGGACAAATCATCAGTGAGAGGAGCAGGGTGGTCACTGATCATTTATCAAAAATGATAAATGCATTAGTGCTTTCTCTTAACAGCACCAAGATCAAGACCCTACTTAGGGGTAAAAAGAATTTCTGCTTTCAGGTGGGAGCAGGCCAGCTGGAAAGGACAGAGGGACATGAAAAAATCACCTCTTAATGTGCAAAACTGATGTGAGTGGCCAAGGAGAACGGACTTGTGATCTCAGAGGTGTTCCAGGAAAAGGCTTTCCATGGAAAACAGCCACAGGTGAGACTCCCCTGGCAGCCTGTGCCTGGCTCTGCTCTCCCAGCCCTGGGAATGCCACGCTGGCAGCAGTGCCAGCAGCAGCCAGGGTGGCACACGGAATGCTGAGCCCTCACCCCTGAGCCCAGAGTCTTCTTTTAACAAACTGGGGGAGTTTGCAGCTCCCCCTGCAAACGCCCTGGAAGGTGAGGAAAGCTGCTGTTGTATAGAGCTGCAACAGGATAAAACCAAGCAGGTGTGAACTGGTCCTAAAACAGCCAAAGAAAGTCAGGAGAAGGTTCCTAAGCAGGAAATTCCAGCAGTGGCCCAGAACTCCCTGTGATACAGAGCTGCTGTGGTGGGGAAGGAATTCTGAGACACTGCACCTGCATCACCTTGCAGGTCCCTTCTGGACTCTGACCAGAAAATTCCTGAGGGTTTTCAGTGCTTTACCTGGAGCACAGGTGTTGCCCAGATTTTTAGAAGTGTTTTCTTTTACAGTTCTTTCAGAAGTCTTAAAGTTCTGATAAAACTCCTTCAGCCTTCTAATCTGTTTACATATTTCTACTGGAGTTCTCCTATACTATTCATGTAAATAATAGTCGTTTTACATTCTTCTTTGTAAGAGAAGAGAACTAATAAACTGTTAGTTTAACCAGTGTGGCTAAAGGAGTAATTCCATCCTCCAATCCACAGTCACCTCTAGAATTCTATAAATGTCAAATACTCAAATAAAGCACTCTCCTTTTCAGCTTTTAAACTCACCAAGCGTTTATGTGCTTACTTCGTGTCCCATAGCAACACACAGGGAGCTCTGCAGCACAGCTGTGAGCTGCTCCTGGGGCAGGATGTCCCTCACCCCATCTCTCACCTCCTTCAGGACAGCAGCACCTGAGCCCTGCCCAGCCTGGAGCAGTGTCAGAACTCAAAATGTCCCTCAGACATTTTTAGAGGTTCCAGGCCTTGGTCAGAAGCATTTGAGACCCTGGCAGGCAGCTGCAAACAGCTGTGATTTTGAGTTTGAGCCATGGGATGAGTTACCAACTTTGGAGATGGAACAAGCACTCACAAAGGGTTAGATGGGATAGTAAAAGTAGTTACAAAACAGAGGGGAAATTTTTTTAGTATTGTACAGAGGGGTTTTAGCACCTGTCCAGGGGGTTTTTACTTTGTACATGGGGGTCAGGAGTTCTAAGATGGAGGAAAGTGGGCTGATCCTGTTCTTCCTCCCTCTTCTTCCTCACCTCCATGTTCTTGGTGATGTTGGCACTCACAGATTGGTTTAGAGTAGAAAAGCACTTTGTAATATAGGTAGTAGGTATTGGGGGAAAACTATAAACATGTAATATGTAATATATCATATAAAAGAGAGCAGCAGCCCTGGGTGGGGAGAGAGAAGAAGACACAGACAGAGAGGATGTCAGGGTGTGTGTGTGCCTCTGCCTGAGCTGTGAGCAAACCACAGCAGCTCAAGGAGAAAATCTTTTAGATAACTCACAATAAACTGCCTTGAGACCCAACAACAAGAGGCTGCAGAGTTTTTCTTTGGAAGCACAGCTTGGAGGAGAGACTTTTCCACCACATGAGACCCCAGAGCAAGGCCGGGGTTCTCACAGAGCAGGAGCCCAGCCCAGCAGCAGCTCCCTGAGCCTCATTTGTCCCTCAGGGCTCATCACAGCAGCATCCCAGCCCTGGAGCAGCCCTGTGGAGCAGGAACCCAGCAGCTCCCTGAGCCTCATTTGTCCCTCAGGGCTCATCACAGCAGCATCCCAGCCCTGCCCAGCCCTGTGGAGCAGGAACCCAGCAGCTCCCCAGCCTCACCTGTCCCTCAGGGCGTGGTTCCTGATCTCCTCCACCAGCTGGAAGACGCGGGCCAGCGGCGAGCGGAACACGTCCACGGCCAGGAAGTTCTTCTGCCACGGGGACACGGTGGCTTTCACGAGGATCTGCTGGATGTAGGCCACGGGAGCACCCACGTACTGCGGGGACACACGGCAGCCTCAGGCCCCGGCCAGGGGTGACGCCGGCCAGGGGACAGTGCAGAAATCCCCAATGGGATCCCAGGACTGCTGAGGAATGCACCTCGAGCTGCTTCATCTCCTCATCATCACTCTCATGACACGGTTATGACAATGGCAAGGTGCCAGCAGCTCACATCCCCGCCAGCAGGCAAAGAACTCAGTGTTATAACTTATTTAAAAGTTTTCTGAGCAATCACACAAAGCAAAATCATATTGACAGTAGCTCTGTCTAACCACTATAAGCACACCTACCTTCAGTTAAAACAGTGCTTGTTAATTTTGAATGCAATATCTGCTTGTAAGCCTTAAAACACAGTGCACTGAGTTCCACTGTTAAGCTCACAACTTCTTAATATCTTGCTAGACATACTTTCCCCAAACCCTCTGATTTTACAGATTCCCACAGCCAGGGAGCTCCCAGAGAACCAGAGCAGGAAGGGCTCTGTCCTCCCTTCCCAGATGAGAGGTGCAGCACGGCAGGGCTCGGCAGGAGCCCGATCCTCTGCTTGCATCGCAGGGACCTCGCGCCCCGCGGGTGCCACCTGCGCTGTGCCAGCTCTGCCAGCCGGGCCGGGCTCGGCTGTCCCGTGGCACCGGGGCAGCCCCGTCCCTCCCCCTGGCCCGGGACTCACCCAGTCGGGGCGCTCGCCGGGCTCGCCGCGCCGCGGCCCCGGCGGGGCGTAGTCCTTCAGCGGGGTGCTGAACTCCACGGGGCCCGTGCCCGGCAGCGGCAGCTTCAGCAGCGGGGAGCTGGGGGGACACGACAGCAGCTCGCTCACTTGGGGTGCTCACGGATGTTTATGGCACAGGAGGTCAAGGAACGAGCGGGCACGCTTCGGCAAAGAGACACACACAGGGCTCGGCCTCCGTGGGCCAGGCTGCTGAACCACAGGCCTTCCTTCTCTGTGGGAATCCACTGGCTGCCCTGGCACCCTGGCAGGGGTCAGGAACCCCCTGGACAGAGCCCCCAGAGACACTGGCTGTGATCTCTGGCCATGGAAAAGAGTTTTCAATCTTACAGGATCAATTACCAGCTCTGAGTGTTTGATGTAAGTAATAATTAAGTGTGGCACAGGTGCAAAAGTAAAATTTTAGGGTTCTAGATGAGGGGTCCAAAGGGGACAAGATGGAGGAAATTGGGTGTGCCTTGTCCTTTTTCTCCTTCTTCATGCCCTCCATGTCTCACTGTGGTGTTGGCATTTTTCTGTTGGTTCAGGCTGGGGACACACTGTCCAACGTAGGTGACAGATATTGGCACGTTCTTGTACATCCAGCCCAGGGAGTTTCTGGTATTTAATGTTTGTCACATCCCACTGAGGGCAGAGCCCCACACGCTGCCCTGCAGGACAGAGCTGGGCAGGGCAGCAGAACATGTGAGAGATAAACAGAATAAACAACCTGGAAACCAGCACAGATCAATTATAGCTTCTGCTTTGGCAGTGGGGCTGAAAGACAGAGACTTTCTACAGTCTCAGAATCATCAATACCTCAGATTCTGACGTAACTGGCATCCCTGGGTGGGGACCACAGATTCCAACACTTCTCCCTTGGAAAGGGATGGAAAAGTCCTGGGAGGGAAAGCAGGGAGACCCTGCAGGGCCTCTCCTGAATTCCTCCAGCCCAGTTAGCTGTGGCAAAACCCAGTAAGGCCATGGCTCAGTGCCTGTGTATCCCACCCAAACCCCAGACACTGTGTGGCTGCTCCCTGCCCCAAATCCTTTATAGTCCTCTGCTTTTCCTCATTTAAATTCAAACTATCTCCAAAACTCATCAATAACTTCACTAGTCCTCACAGCACTTTTAAGAGCAGCAGTGAGACACCAAAACTATGAGATCTTGATCTTCTTGCTGCTTTGCCACCACAACCTCCAGTGATCGTAACTCTTGTCCCAAAACAGAGACTTTGAACTATTCAAAAACTGACAACACGAGGTTACAGAGAGTTTAGAATGGGAATTTTACCTCCAAATGTTCTCAAAAGTGGTTAAAAGGAAATCAGAATTGAACTGGTGGGAAAAGCAAGGCTGCTGGCACACAGAGATCCACTGAGAATCTGGAATTGTCAGCACCAAACTGATCTGGAGAACAGAACTTCAGGCTTTTTGTGGCCTTACAATTCCTCATATATTTCCCTGTTTGTAGATTAATTTTGTGGCAATATTGACACACTAAATAGAAAGGCCTTGGAATTGTTTTCCTGCAAGGCTCTGCCCACTTCATTAGGGATTAGCTTGGATCATCAAGGGCCATGGAGGAACAAGCAGCATCTAAACACAAGGCTTCAGAGAGAACAACAAACAGCTGAAAAAGAACAATGAAATCAGAAGCCAAGCTTGTCAGATTTGCTTTTCATTGGTCTGACAGAAATACATCTAATTATTAGCCTTTCATTGTGCAAGAGTAGGGAAGAGAAAAAGGAATAATAGGTCAAGTGTAAGTGATAAACAAAGCAGAGCACATTCAATAGATGATTAAGGAGGAACTATTTTTTCCCTAAATGATTTCAGTGTTGGTGACTGTGTCCAGAAATCCAAGGAAAAGACTTGAGATTCACAGAAGGTGCTTCTGCAGGGGGTATTCCCCGTGAGTCCCCTGTGAGTTGGGAGGAGTCAAAACAAACGTTTTTTGTAGAATTTGATAAATTTTCGATCAGAGATTGTTCAGGTTTGTTCTGGCTGTGGAGCGTCCCCTGGCCTGGCTGTCTGTGCTGGCAGTGCTGCTGCTGTCCCAGTCCTGTCCAAGGGGATCTGTCACCCCTGGGACCCCCGGGGCAGCAGGAGCCTCCAAGGGCAGGGGGCTCAGCTCTCCCCAGGGCAGGGCCAGGAGCTGACTCCAGGTGGGATGAGCAGCTCTGCCGTGAGGCCAGAGCAGGATGGGATCCTCTGAGCTCTCACTCCTGGTTCATGGCTCAGCCTTGAGGGAAAAGGGATCCTCGTGGGAGCTTGGCCTCCCCGGTTTGGGACCCACCAGGTGCTGGCAACACGGAACGTGGAGTGGTTTGGGATGGAGGGACCTTGAGGAACATCCAGTGCCACCCCTGCCGTGGCAGGGACACCTCCCACTGTCCCCGGGTGCTCCAGGCCCTGTCCAGCCTGGCCTGGGACCCTTCAGGGGCAGCCCCAGCTGCTCTGGGTGTGCTGTGCCAGCTCTGGGTCACTGGCACTGCAAGGGTGCCCAGAGGGAAGAACAGCCCCACCTCAGCTCCAGGGAAGGCATTTTCAGCACTGGGGTTCGACTCTCCTCACATTTCCCTTTGTTAGAATTTTTTTTTTGAGGGGAACACGAGAATGGAAAGCACAGGCAGAGGAGGGAAGAACAGCAGGACCTGAAGTGGCCACAAAGCAAACCACAGCAGCTCCAGCTCAGCAGGAGGAAGAGCCTCTCTCCATGGAGGGGCAGAACCCTGGCACAGCTGCCCGGGGGGCTGGAGACACCCCAAACCCACCTGGACACACCCCAGGGACCCTGCCCTGGCCTGGGTGACATCCAGACCCTCCCAAGCCCACCCCTCCTGGCACCTAACAAAGATGACAGGAAAGCTCAAGTTGTTCTGGTTTTGGGAAAGGCTCTTTCCAGATGCTCCTGAAACTCCTCTGAAAGCCCAGAATAAAGGAAACACAGATCCTGCAAGCAGCTGGGACTGGTGAGCTGCAGCAGGAACTGCATTTCAGGCAGCAGCAGGAGGGAGGTGCAGGCACAAGTGCTCATCCAAGCACCTGACAGATTTCCAAGACAGCTCAGGGGGCCAGGAGAGCTCCAGGCAAGTCCCTCCCTGCACATTCCCCCTTCCCAGCCCCGAGGGCAGAGGGAAGCAGGGAGCTGCCAGGTCTCAGGGAGCAGCAAAGGAGCTGATCCATGGAATTAAAGCAGCTCCCAGCTCTGCTGGCTCCCAGCAGGACAAGCTTTTGGCCTGTGTGCGGCCAGGACAGAGCAGCTGGAACGCCACTGCTGAGGAGGGAGGGAATCTGCTAACAGGTCCTGCCAGAGCTGCTGGCAGCAACAGTGCCTCTTTAGCCTTGGCAAGTGCACCAACAGCCTGTCCCTGAGTGAGTGGTGGTGGCTGTGCCCTGCTTCCCTCTGACAGGGCCTGGAATTCTGCACTGGAGAGGAAATTCCCCTTTCCTGCTCCCAGTGCCATGCTGAAAGCCCAGAGGAGACTCTGCTCTCTGGGGATCTGGAACATGAAGAGTCTGGCTCTAATTCAGGTCCTCTGATTGCCACATGCCAAGGGTGAAACAGAAGAGTGCAGGCTCCAGGGAGAACAGGACAGGCAGGTGTGCAAAGAAAGATCAGCTTTCCTTCTCCCCATTTTTAATTCATGGGTTTGGAGTCCACTACCAGGTGCTTGAGAGTTACTTTCATCTCATTTATTGCTTCACTTAGTCAATTAATTTTTACTTATTAAACCAGATGAAGACACTTCATCACTTCATCCCTGCTGTTTCTTTGGTCCCACAAAAGGAGACGACAAAACCTCTAAATTCTAAATAAAAAGGAGCTTCTGGGTGGGCCCAGAAGGGAGAACCCCCCGTCCCCAGTGGCACGAAGGACTCACCAGCAGGCCAGGATGCAGAGGGCAGTGAAGAGGATGATGGGGATGGGGTAGGAGGCGCAGAGCAGCCCGTGGCTGTAGAACGCCCGCGAAATCCTCTCGCGCAGCCTTTCAGTCAGGGTCATCCTCACCTCCAGGCCATCCCGGGCACCTCCAGCGTGGGCAGCCCCTCAGGGAAGGCTCTGGCTCCAGCTACGGAGGGCAAAGGAGGAAAACAGATCAGGAGAAGGGAATTAAACATCATCAGCTCGTTTGAGAAAGCGTTCAGGAATGAGTTGTTCCCTGGCAGGGTGGCAGCCCTGGCACAGGGTGCCCCTGGAGCCCTGGCAGTGCCCAGGGCCAGGCTGGGCAGGGCTGGGAGCAGCCTGGGAGGTGTCCCTGCCATGGCAGGGGTGGCACTGGATGGGCTTTGAGGTCCTTTGCAGCACAAACCATTCTGGGATTTATTTCTTGGTTCTATGCAATGACTGAGCAGATCTTGACCTCACTGTCAGGACTGGACCATCTCTGTTCCAGGAGGAACTCAAGAACAACGTGGATCTGCTGCTCCTGTGGCACAAAATACATCAAAAGTGGCTCTCTGACCAGCCTGAGCTGCCAAAAGCTGCTCTGGGGAGGAGCATGGCACTGGCAACAACTTCAGGTAATTTCAAGGAGCAAAACTTTCTATTTACTCTCCTCACGTGCTGTCCAACAGGAGGAGCATTCTGCAAGAAAACTCAGAGCATTCCAAAGCCAGTGTTTCTTTATCACTTGGGTGGGTTGCATATTAAAATCTGGCATCTTTATTTGCTTTACGCTGTGACAGAGCTCCTAAGAGTGAGCAGCAGGAACTGTTCCTGCCCCAAGGCATTTCTGCAAACAGAGATCATCTAAGCCAAAATAAACCTGTGGACAAATGTTAAAGGAGAATTTCTTGCCTCTTGCATGACTGCAGATCCAAGCCAAAGTCTGCTGGAAGCACGAGGGCAGCAGGATGTGCCCACCCTGCAGCCCCACAGGTGACATTCGTGGCTCAGGTACGAGAGGTGGACACGCAGCACAGAATCCCAGGATGAGTGAGCTGGGAAAAGCCCTCCCAGGCCACTGCCCCACCCTGTGCCCCACGGCCACCGTGTGCCCAGCCCTCCGTGCCACATGCAGGGACAGCTCCAGGGACGGGGGCTCCAGCACTGCCCGGGCAGCCCTTGCCAACACTAACCCACTCTTCAGTGAAGGAACTTCCCCAGTGCCCACCCTGAGCCTGCCCTGGCCCTTCCCTCTCTGTGGGAACTCCAAATGTCCCTCAGACACTTTTGGAAGTTCCAGGGGCAGGTCAGAAGCATTTGAGACCCTGGCAGGCAGCTGGAAGCAGCTGTGATTTTAAATGTGAGAACAAGAAGATCAAAAAAATCACAAAATTTAAATGTTATAGTAGGAGTAGTCACAAAGTAAAAAGAGACATTTTGGAGTGCTGTACAAAGTGGTTTTAAGTCCTGTACAGGGGCGTTTTGGTTTTGTACATGACAGTAAAAAGTTTTAAGATAAAGGGATTTAAGCCTATCCTGTCATCCCTCTTTCTTCTTCCTTACCTCCATATTCTTAGTAATATTAGCAGTCACAGATTAATTTAGAGTAGAAAAACACCATTTAATATAAGTAATAGACATTAAAAAAAACTATAAACATTTAACACATAATGTACCATATAAAAGATAACAACAGTACTAGGCAGAAAGAAAAAAAAAAAAGTCAAAAGTGTGTGTACCCTTGCCTAAGCTACTAAGCAAACCTCAGCAGCCCAAGAAGACAATCTTTCAGACAACTTACAATAAACTGCCTTGAGACCAAACAACAAAAAATTTCTGAGCCTTTTTTTAAAAACACAGGTTAAAAGAAAAATTCTTCCAGCACACAAAGCCACCCACAAGCTTAGGTGAACTCCACCACCTCTCCTCCTGTACCTGGCTCCTGTGGCCTGCATTCCTCCAAAAACAAGGCTGGCCAGCAGAAGGAAGAGATGGAAAACTTCCTTTTGTGGGAAAAATTAACTCAACCTTGCTACTTTTCCTCTGACAAAAGCTTTCATCTCACTCAACAATAGTTCCGTGTTCCAAATTCTTTACATTTCTGTCTGAAAGGCTTTACAGCCTTCCCAGGAGCCTCCCAGGACACTAAGAGCAGGGAAACACAGCAGAGCCCACTGAGCTTAGAGGACAAACTAACCAAGGTAGAAAACTTTCCTTTTTCTAGCAGTCACCTGGGGTTTTAGGCGTGCTCAACTCCATTTCCCACAAAATGTTCTGGAAGCAGGCCCCAGCATTAGTGTAATAAAAACATACAGCTGAGGCAGTGAAGCCTGGAGGTGGAAAATACAGGGAAAAATCCAAAATAAACCCCTGTCCCACGGTACTTTTCTTGCATTCAACACATCCAATAATTTGCTCCGTCACGTTGCCTACAGCTGAACCTCCAAAGGGAATCCCAGTGTTTTCCAGGTACAAGCCCGAGCTTGGCAAAGCAGGGACAGACCCAGCATGGGCCTTGTGGCCCCACACGTTGGGAAGGGTGGATAAATGTAATTGCCTGGCAGAAAATTCACCATAGGACAGCCAGACACCCACAGCCCCTTTTCCAGCACCCCTTTTCCAGCAGCCACAGAGGCGAGGGCTGGCCTGGCTGTCCCCAGCTGCCCTGCAGATGGACACCCCAGCCCGGGGCAGATGTGCCATGTCAGGAGTGCTCCTGCCAAGGCCCTGCTTGGGGAAGGGCAGGGGAGGAAAGAAGGAGGAATTTACTAAAAATGAGAATTTCTGAGGTCACTGGGTTGGTCTGTGCTGGTGCCCAGGGAGCAGCTCAAAGTGATGCTCACACACCTGAGGGCCAGGTGGGCCAAGGACCACCAGCAGTAACCCCCCTGCTGCTGCAGGGACTGCCTGGTATCCAAAAATCCATCCATCCCACACAGGCACCGGGGGATCAGAGCACCTCCTGCCTCCAGGGCTCCCCAAATCCTGCTGTGACTGACACGTCCCAGCGGGGCCCCGAGCCAGGAACGGGGCTGTGGCAGCACAGGGCACCTCGGGGCCACCCTGGCACTGGCACACACACAGAGGTGCCACAGGTGTTGGCCACATCTGGGTTCCTCACAGCACACACAGAATATGGAATTTCCTGGGTTCATCACAGCACACACAGAGCAGAGGATTTCCTGGGCTCCTGGGCTGCTCACAGCACACAGAATTTCCTGGGATCCTCAAAGCACACACAGAATTTCCTGAGCTCCTGAGCTCCCCACAGCACACA